AAAAAGACATTTTTCTGATTTTGAGTCCAACCAAAAAAACCACATGCTTGTGCAAACCCGCCAGCCTGAGAAGATTCTCCCTCAGAGACACAAGTCCTGCTGTTGTTCAACCAGCCCCTGGATATCTAATTACATTTAAACAGTGCCCACACGCATTCCTCATGCCTCTCCTGTTGCTGTGGGCTTGTCCAATGATTGCTCTTGTTACCTGGTTTGTTTACAAAGAGAGTACTGCACTGCCTGACTACTGGTGTAAAGCTTTCGTCACAACATCAGATCGTCTCACTCTCAGTATAATGAGTGGGCTTGGTGTCAATTAGGGTTTTTGTTTGTGACTCTGGAGAGGAGTTTTCTCTGGCTCGTTTAGGTTGAAATGGATGGTTTGGTGGTAATGGTTTGATGAATCATCCTGGTGAGCTTAATTACATACTCTGTGTAAGAGAAGGAATCAGAAATAAAGAGAGAGAGAGAGAGTGATAGATGAAGGAGGGAGGAAAAGCGTAAGAAATAACTGAAGAAGTCACAGTGTCCCTACCTACTCACAGTAGCGTGTAAACATGTCATACAGAATTGCAACCTTCCTACAAGAGTATTACTCAACGACTGCAAGGCTGCCTGTCGTACGTAAACACACGAACACAGAATCTTCTGAACACGTAGAAACCCTCTCAAGAGTCTTGCACAGGTTGGATCCTTTCTAGCGGTTTTTGTTTGTGGTTCTAAAACACTACAAAGTCACACTACTTCCTCCTTTCACTCTCAACAGACAAGAGTCATACTTGCTTCGAGCCCTCAGGCTTTGACACTTGATTTTAAACACATTTGGGCATTTGCTGACACGACTGATGCTGCTGTTCTCTCGGGAGCACAGTGTTGTAAAAAAGGGATACGAGTCTGGCACTGTTCACCCAATATGGATGTAAACACCCTAATGCTGAAGGTCAGCAGTTAAAGCTCAGTCACTGTTTCATTAAATGACAACAGAAAATGTGGACGAGTTCTTGTTGAGGTCTGCCTGATGAGAAGTGACATGTAACAAAAGAAAATAGCAAGTTTAGGATGCATGCAAAGGAGCTGAGAACACATGACTACCTACAATATACTGTAAAGATTCAGGCTTCTTTATGAAAAGCATACGCCTGGAACATGTTTTACTTCAGCAGTTAAACATCTGTTATCCAAACGTATAACAGCAGATCTGGTTCCTGTTCTTCTGGCCAAACAGAGAGAGATCAGTCTGTGATTGTTTGTGATTCTGTACTGTGGTCAGTTAATAATCCATCTGCAGTTATGACAATGTTTCCGTCAGTTGTCAGATACAGTAGGAAAACCTCTTACTCTCACAGTTAAACCGAGGGGCATTCGCCAAAAGTGCAAATTCAATCATGCAACAAATAAATCACATTCATGCGTTGAATCATAATATTTCAGTATTTTATCATTTGACTCAAGGGTGTTTTGTCTAACTACGCGCTTTGTCTCTCTTACTTTCACGTCAGTATGCTGCCTCACTGCGAGTGAACACATTATTCTTGTTAGATTGTATCTCATATTTATGGACATGCACATCTGTTTGTTATTCCAACAACAGTAACATTTCAGCACCACATTAAATATTCATAGCCGGCATCTGGTCAGTGTTTCTCTGTGTGCGGCCAGAAAACATAGCAATTCAATCAAAAGTTCGGGGGTGGATTGACATGTAAAGGATGATTTTTTTTATGCTTGGCAAACTAACACTTATAAACTATTATGAAGCCATTATTTTGGTCTGAAAATGAATGATGTGGAACTAGTACATTTGTGGGCATTTAAAAAAATGCATCCATCCTGACATTAACTGAGCATAAAGAAACGTTAACCTGTATATTCACACACTAACAGGTTCATATTTAGAAGCTGCTCTGTGCAAAGACATTGAACTAGCTGGCATTGATTAGCCTGACTGGAAGGTTTAGGGGCTAAAGTTGTGATTTAGAGATACTTGTGAAGGAAGTGGGCACATACCCTCCAGATAAAGATAAGTATTTCCTCCGGTATCAGTTGTTCTCTAACAATTATTTATAATCACATCAACTTGCAGGTGGTTAGTGTGTAAGTCTTCGGCATTCTTATGAGATAGCTTTGGGCCGTTAGTGTTTTTTTGCGATATGAAATCATCTGTTTTTCATTTCTGACTCAGCAATATTGCAACCACATAAATTAAGCTTCATGATTTGCCTCCAACTGTTTGCTTCCCCACGGGGCGCTCCAGGCACAGTGCTGTAAGTGGTACCATTGTTTTCCAGCTTGTGCCATTACTAACAAACCAGCCATGTTTCAAAGCAGGGCACATGAAGATACCAAATGTCGTGTTTTGTTAAAAGTAAAGAAGCTCTTTGTTAACAACGATGTTACCAACAGGGAGGAACATCTGCTGCTAGATTAGCAGGCAGCAGACTTTTAGACGTCACTCGAAATCATGGTATTGTTTTGAAACCCTTTACTGGGATTCTGAACATGACATGTGTGTTGTAGCAAAAGTTGTATTTACTTATATCTGTCAGACATGTGTAACTTATTTTGAGTTGAATTGCTTAGCGTGATTTTTTCAGCGTGAATTGTTCAGCACAACTCTCGTTCAGAGCAACTCGTTTGGCGCAACTTATGTTTAGCGTGACTCCCGTTCAGTGCAACTTCAGCGTCAATTGTTTGGCTTGACTCGTTCAGTGTGCCGGGTTACTATAACTTCTCATCACTATAAGAAAGAAAATCTAGTTGTCTGCCATTATTACTGGGTATTGTGTGACGACATTGAGAATTATTAAACTCTTTTCACTACCAGTGACAAAGCTGAGGAATCAATTGTTGCGCAACAATTCAGCCGACGTCACTCTCCCAGACGGCAGATCCAGACGGAGGCAGACAGCTCATGACTACAACACCGCTCGTCTTACCTGCTTACCCTCAGGTTCTTCTTGGCTACGTATCACAGAGGGAACAAACCAGAGAGTAAATAGATTTGTAGGGATTTAACAGGACTTCTTAGACACTGCCCAGGGTATGTCAAATGATGACCAACTGGGGGAAAAGAACAGAGTGCTCTCTGTAGTTAGACTCAGATTTATTGGGAGCAGGCTTTGAAGAAGACACATATCCGAGATGTCAGCCTGTTCATCTGCTCAATAAATCTCCGGAGCAGACTACAGCCCTGTCATCCCCTCTTATTCTTTAGTTAGTCATCCTTTGATGTGCCCAGGATAAAAAGTAAATTATCAGTCTGTAAATACTGTTAATGACACCCTCTAAAACATGATTATTGGCTTTGTTTACATGTTTACCTACTACATATTGCGTATGGACATGTTGTTGTTTTGTTTTTAAACTCTGAAATGTTCTTTCTAAAATGTTCTTGTGGAAATGGTACTTGTAAATAAAGTTCAATGCACAGAAGTGAAGCATGATGGGATAATAAGGACACAATAAAGTGCTTATTTTCCTCCACTATGATAACAATTCAACAATCAGCATGGGATTCAAAACAGTCGCCAGAATAAAATATAGGCATGGATGCGTTGCATTTTGACGTTTCTGAAGAAAAGATGTGTTTTTGAAAATAAAGGTTTGTTGTGTGTGAACGTAATTATTAGGAGAGCAGTCTGTGATTATGCGTCAGTTAATATTTTCCTTTTGGTCTTTTTCTGTGCACACTGAACTGATCTGACTATGCCTCAGCGACTTTGGACGGACATCATCTCACTCATATTCTTCTATCACACAGTTTGCATCATTACATCATTCCAATTACTTTCTCAACTCTCTCTGTTGCGTCACAGAGCATCGAGTTTATACAAGTAAGAAAGACTCACGATGCGCCGACGATGATACCTGATGTCGGGATCCAGCTCGTGTGACATCAGAGCCACTGATTTTACAAAGGAACTGGAGTGGGGTTGGAAGTCTGACTCAAATTGACTCAGACCTCCAGACAGAGCTCCACATGCCTGCAGTTGTCTGAAGGGCAGATTCCCAGGAATGTCTATGAGATCATTCCCTCTGCAGTAGAAAAGTACTCAAGCTCAGTGACTCACTCCGCAAATTGGCTGCGGAAATGAAAGAATCAAGAAGTGGGGCAGAGAGGATACTGGGATATCCACTGACAAATGGGAGGGGTCTTTTCTGCCAGGGAGGCGTCCACGTTACAGCACAACATCTTCATTGTTGATGTTGATACTCAGCTTTTTGCAGCTTTTTGCTTAAGAGCCCTGATCATGGAGTTTATGGACTGGCCTTAGTTTTAAGTGCGTGTCCAGATTAATTTACAAGCCCCAAAGACCAGCATGTTTATGTTTTCATTCCTCTTCAGTCACGCCAGCATTAGTGTACAGATATAGAGTGCTGCAGGAATTGGGGTGTGTTTTGTAGGCCAAAAAGCCAATGGGATTCCTTCATTGGATTTTGGATTATTGCAGAAAATAAACTCTGTGGCAAACAAACGTTTACGATACTTACATGTTTTGTTCAGCCAAATAAAATAACAATAAACCACTTTTATGAATATTGAAGCATGAATACAATCACCAGAAATAAAAAGCTAACGTTCGGCTTTAAACAAAGATTTATACTCGAAACTCAGCATTCAGAGGAAGGATTTCAGTCCAACAAATACAACATCTAGCAACACAAGCACACTGACATATTGTTGTAGTTTGCTAACTTGTCAATATGTTCAGGATAAAAAAGTCAAAGAAATTAGAAAGACCTCATGCTGTCCCTGATGGTGCAACAATAGGAATTAAATGACACAAGAGAAGGAAAAGAACAAGGAAACACAGAAAAACATCCACTAGGTTCTACACACACACACATTTATTTATCTGCTACCTGCAGTGCTGAAGAACCATCTCATTTATTATTTTGCCACCCCAGGCCAGCCTCCGTCCCGTCCCCTCCCACTCCGTGTCGACCGGCTGGAGGCGGTGCAGGACAACCCCGTCATCCTCCACGTCAAAGCCGGCTTCGTTATTTAAACTTGAATCAAAAGGAGGAGAAGAAGGAACGTGTTTTCTCAGACGGGACAGCGTTGCCTATAGCAGCTATAGGCGGAGGATTCGCGCTACTTCATGCGTGGCTTTTTTGTTTATTCTTCCTTGTTTAGCTCGTTCGATCGATCTGTCCGTCTTCATCGACTAAAACATGACCCAGACCGTGACACTAAAGGGACCCTCACCGTGGGGCTTTCGGCTGGTGGGAGGACGGGACTTCAGCACGCCGTTAACCGTCTCCAGGGTAGGTGAAACCTCCATTCATTGAGCGGGTTTAAACATCTATCATCCGGGTTATAAGTAATGTCAATGAATGGGGATGAATGCATGAAGGGTAAAGTTTAATTAATTGGTCTTCAACAACAAGTCTGGTATCCCTAATAGCAGTAGTTTATAATGGGCTTTACTCTAACAGCTGTCAGGCGGTGCCGTCTAATCCCTGGCAGCTAAAGTTGCCAGTACAATTTAACCATTAACAATAAGACAAAAAAAAAACTGAATAAAGCGTTATTTTCATAATTTGAAGAACTATGTTAGGGCTTCAACTTCCTATTTTCATTGCTGATTAATTTGTCAATTGTTTTCTCCATTAACCGATTAGTTGTTTGGTCTATACAATGTCAGAAAAGTCTATAAAGTGTTTTTTTTTAGTGCACAACTAAAATATATTTAGTTTACTTTAATAGAGGAGTAAATATAACATTTCATATTTACATTTAAGGAGCTGGAATAAAATATTTTTGACCTTTTTTTTAATTAAAAAAGTTACTCAAACTGATCAAAATAGCTAACAACTAATCAATTAAACAGCTCTACACTATATTAAAATCAAATAAATGAAAAAGCCAACAACAAATAATGCCTTTTATATTCCAATCATGTGTCAGTCAGTGACCTCAGGTGTGATAATCTTTCTACAACAGATGCATGACATTATATATTATTGTGTGCGTTATTTTAGTTAGTCATTGTTAACATTGATGGTGGTAGTCGTATAGTAGTAGTAAAAGTATACGTATAGTGTTCATGAACTTTCCTGACCCACAGAATATGGGTCAAGAGTCAGCGTGCTGGCAGTGGGTCTGGCAGTAGCCAATAGCTCATTGCGGCCAGGATAAACACAGCCCGGTCCTGCTGCAGGGCTTGCAGAAGGAGGAAGGCGGCGGGGGTAGTGCTGACATTTGTTTTTCATCAGAGCTCATTGGTGCTGCTGAGGGATACCAGGTGTTGTGCTCAGCTGCATCACCAGCCCCAAACCGACTCTTTAACTACAGGGCCATAGCACTTCTAAACTAGAGGTGTAATTTCTAGATTTACGGCGGGCGATTAACAAATCTGAGAGGAGCGGACGAAATAGCCGAAGGTCACCTGAAGTGCTCTCTGTTTGTTAAACCTACCGCTGTAGTTGTGATGCAACGCTGAGGCGTACTTTGACTCAAAAGACTCGACGGTTGTGGTTTCAACATGAAAGAGTCCCCTCGCTCGCTTGGCGCCTTTTGCTTCTCCAAAGGTGACTGAATTTTGCAGCTTGAGAAATTTCTGTGGATCGGGATTTCCCTTCATGCTTGATCTTAATGTTTGTCTCTCTGTGTTGAGTCTCAAGACAGCGTCATGAAATGCAGTCTGGTGGTTTTCTTGTTCGGAACGACTTCTTTTGGTCAACAAAACCACTCGGTCAGGTTTAGGAAAACATGGTTGGTCTTAAAATAACTTTGTACAGTTAGGTTTAGGCAACACAACTACTGAATTAGGTTTAACAAAAACATCACGCTTGGGCTTAAAATTACTACATAGTTAGGGTAAGGCAACAAAACAAACGTTAGGTTCAGGCAACAAAACAAAAGTTGGGTTCAGGCAACAAAAGTACTCGACTAGGTTTTAGAAAAACATAATTTTTGGGCTAAAAATAGCTACATAGTTAGGTTAAGCCAAGAAAACAAACGTTAGGTTTAGGCAACAAAATGAACGTTAGGCTATAAGGCAACAAAATGAACGTTAGGCTATAAAGCAACAAAACTACTCGATTAGGTTTTGGAAAAACATCATGGTTGGGCTTAAAATAACACGTACAAGTCCTGTGTTTGTTGGACCCATCCACCCATCATGAATGTTTTTTGTTGTCATTAGCTCTGACCGTTGCGTAGTCGCATGGATGCGTGTAATTCATGTGTCCACCACACAAAACGATCCTAATTGGCTTTCCATTGCCATTGTTCTCGTGCTATGTGACATTAAAAAAAAACAGACAATTCGTGTCCTGGTACACGAAACCAATAGACCACATTTTGTGACTATTTCACTATTTACGAGAGTTTCCAAAACAGAAAATGCCCGACACCGGAGTTAATTTGTAAAAAAGGGAAAAATCTACACGGCATGCAATTGCAGCTCTCTTGTGTTGGTTTCATGCTGAATTTGAAGTCAACATGTCGCCCAGTGCAGCTTCAGCACATCTCAGGTTTTGTGATGCATACCTTCCTGACTTCTTTAATCATTAGTACAGTTGACAAGTTGCAGTTTCAATGTCAGCAATTTCTTTTTTGCCACTTCAGTCTGTGCAAACTTGCACGACTGCCAGTGCAGAAACCATGGCATCCGTGCACAGGGAAGGCTTTTGCACTGTGGACATTGCGTAACTAAGACGATGGCGTCAGTGAAGGTAATTGCAGGTTGCACTAAAGAGACAGTTGCATAGCAAGGACGGCAATAAAAACCAACGCTTGACATGGAATAGCTGCTCGCAGGAGTGAAAAGGGAGTTTCGACTAATTCCTAAATCTTGGCTTTAAAATTAGAGAAGGAAGCAGCTGGTGAGATGCAAGCATATTTATCAAAATATGTAATGTCAGAGGCATAAATACACACAGTGTGTTTGGCAGTAAGATCCAGCATTACACTACCTCCTACAGCTTTCTATCATCCATTACAGAGCAGTTTAGTTAGCCTCTAATTGAAGTCACATGCTCTGAAACATCAGCTGACAACACAAAATGTTATTGGCAGTAATTGTTTTATGCTGGTATCTAGATCACAATTAAATTTAGTGAGAAGTGATAAAAATAGAAATGGTGGGAAAGGAATCCTCTCTCCTCACCTCATGGGAGCTGGTTGCATTCTGAGTTTATAAGCACAGCGTGATTCATTGCTGCTGATATGCCGGAGTATCTCCCAAACTTGCTATTTATCACATGGTTGCAACATTCTCGCCGTTCAGTGCATGCCCAAGACGGCAATTACAATGTGTTGAACGGCGACACTGAGAGAGATACATGGAGGGAGAGAGAGAGTGTGTTTACAGAGAAGGATAGTTAATGTCGAACAGTATTAAAGATCTTCTCTTTGGGGGGCATTTAAGTATCATGTAGACCTCATACAAGCCAGAACTCTGTGAAGGTTTTAAAAGTGTCTGCTGGCTCTGCATAGCTAGAGAAGAGATGGTTTAAGAAGGCGGCAACCTTCGGGTCTGAAAAGTGAAGCCTGCATTCTCTCTTCTGTCCACCAGGGGGCGACTCCTCTGGTTGTAGAAGTCTATGAGAAAATGACTCTACTTCTCTCTTGATTTATTACCTCAGTAAACATTGTAAACATGAGTTTATGGTCTCAATCAATAGTTTCAAGTCTTCTTCAATACAGCATGATGTTCATGTAGTAAATTATGGTCCATTTAGAGTCAAATAGTTCATAAATGTTAATTGTAAATTTAAAAGTATCTTATATATTGTTCGATGTGGAAAAAACTAAATGACAATGTGGAAAATCCATGATGGCAACGGCCTAAAACCAAGATGGCGATAACCAAAAAAACAAGATTGTGATGGCCAAAAAACAAGATGTTAATGGCCATAAAACAAGATGGGGTCCACAAACCAATGGGTGCATCACGGTGACTACGTCCACTTCTTAATATACAGTCTTTGGTTTTAAGACTGGAACTAAATGCTCAACCTCATAGATGTGTTTAAGTTTTGCTGTATTTTACGTAATGCCGCCAATCCTGCCTCTACTTTGCATGACTGACAGACAGACCTCCTCCCTTTTGTCCTCTATTTTCTTCTGCCTACATAAAAGTGAAAGCCTGAAACACCTGCACTTGGAGACAGTGAAAGTTGTAAATACCAGGAAACCAGTTCTGATGGCAGCAGCTGTTTTTTCCCCCTTATGGTGATAATGTCCCAGCATAAGCCCATTAGTCTCCCGCCAGCCCATTAAGACTCTAGCCAGTTCATGTCTACTCGACTCTGGAAACATTTTCCCTGATTGTGTGTGTGTGTGTGTGCGGTGGTAGACTAATAAATGGCATTTGTGTGCATGAGAGGGAACGAGTGGCAGAGAAGCAGAAACATAATAAAACCGCTGATGTAACTGCTGAAGCATTTAGTGAGGTTACGTTGAATATGGCAGCTGTGGTGTAATCTGTGTCAAACCGACGTGTCGGCGGAAGGTGACGCAGGACGCTTGTCAGTCGTCTTCTTGACGGGAATTCACAACTGAGTGTTGGGTAAATAACTCTGACACCTTTTTTCACTGTCTGTGCCGCTTTCAGACAAACTGCTGTTAGAGGGTAATTGTTTTGTCCAGGACACCTTCTTGAAATTCGGCATTTTTGCTTGAAAAATGACTTTAACGATCACTCGTCTAAATAGTTTAGGGAGCAACGATACGACTTCTTCAGCACTGACAGTGTGATACTTGTGCTTTGGGTATTGGCCGACGCCGAGTACAAAATCTAATACCCGTGTTAAATGAATAAGTCATAGTCCCCACTGTGTGGAAGAGACTGGGATCATTCTTTTATTTGTAGGGAAACATCTGACTTGATTTAAACATTGCTTTCCTGGCGTTGTAAATCTAAATGTAACAAGTAAATACATCAATCAACCAATCAAACTTTATTTCAGACTCAGGGTCCAGATAAGAAAAATATAATACAATTACATATAAATCAATAAATAAATAAATGTACTGAGTTGCTATTTATGTTTAAAATAAGAAACGCAGGAAATAAAGACACTGTGGTTCTTCTGTTAATGATGGATTTATTCGTCTTAAATGCAGCTCAGTCATCATTACTGCCACCAAATCCACTGCCAAACTGTTCTAAATACATGACAATATACAAAATGTGCTTACATTTACATAAAGAATAAACATACCTCGCTGGCTGCACACAACCGAGAGGGAAGGAGTCCAGTTGAACACCATTAAATCTTAAAAAACGGGGAACGTAATTAGTGTTTTACAAAATAAATATGAATGAAAATAAGTCGTATAAATAATCATATGTAAACAAATCAAATAATGAGTTAAAATCAGAGTAGAGTAAAATTAAATCTATCTTAAAATATGCCAATATGTACATTTAAGGTACATTAAGATGCTGTAATAGTTCCTCTTGTCCATATATTCAGAGATCCCATCTTGGTCTCAATGTAAGTGACGGAGGACGGTCATTGTTTTAAGAAAACAATGACCACAAAAATGCTGAACCTGTCCTCTAAGAAGATAAAAGAGGAAGCGAGTCATGTAGAATCATCTGTCTTACTCTTTGTGGAACGTCTGGTTTCTGAGTTAAGACAAAAACCTTCATTTATTTCGAGGTCGTTTCATGTTTGTTAAGCTGATTTATTTTTCTTCATTGGAATCCCAGTGCATGACTCAAGAACTCATATATCTTAGATTGCATCAGCGGTTACACACATCCAATGAACTCGCTGTCCGTTGTGCCCTTTAATCTCTCGGCGTACGTCCGTCCAGCTCCGCCGCATACCAGAGACGGGACATGTGACCCGAAGCCACATGGGTCGTTTCTCTGCTGGTTATAATAGTCGGCTTTAGGCCGCTCTCTTCTCCAGGCTAGAATTATAGATGCTGCGAGCTGCTCGAAAAAACGGAGCAGAAGATAACAGATGGTCCTTTCCAAGAATTTCACTGTCGTCAGCGAAGCAAGTTCCTACAAAAACGTCTGGGCCAGGAGAGCTCGTCTGGTTATCTAATGAATGAAACCGAGCCTCTGTGATTGATGTTAACATGGAAAGATGAGCAGATATCTGGTCTTTAAGTACCTTGAATACAGTTTAACAGATAAGCTTTAATGTGAGGACTCTGTGGAAAACGTCATGCTGTTATTATGTGTTCGCTTTCGTGGCGGAAGCCTCTTGCTTTTCATTTCGCCGTCAATGTTAACAGATTAAAGAGCAGTTTGATTTTTTCTTTACTTTTATATCTGTGGACCTACTTTTTTTTTTTTTAAACAACAAACCATTGTGACTTGATTCCCTTCAGGTTTCAAGAGTGAATTTGTGTGTTAAATAGTGCGTTCTGGACTATTTTTACTGCCATTTCCATCTCATTTTATATTATCTGGAATAGGTAAACCAGTCATACAGAAGAGATACATACACATGTTAAATACTTTATAAATGAGACCGAATAATGAATTCAGGTGGAGTTAACAGGCTTTCTCATTTTGTATCTTTTTTCTCTCATCAGTAAAACAAGTCAGCCTTTTATAATAGATACAATGTTACAATACGATTCAGGCTTCCTCATGGGACGCACGCTGCAGTTCTGCTACATTTATATGGTAACCCCAATAAAATTGCAAACTCTTTCTTAGTGTGGGCTTTCACTTCCTTAATAGATGTAAATCATTTGAAGTGTTATAATACCGTCAACACCGAAAAAATAAATAAATATATGATATCAATTTTAGGTATAAAGTGAGTTTCGAATGATGTGCTTTTCCTTGTTAGCTTCCACGTCGTCTTGTGTCGCCATAAACACGCGTTTCTTTTCCATGTATTTGCTGCAAGAACTGCAAATGATCTAAAACATGATTCTCGGGACGTTTTTTACAATCGGACCCAACATACTGAAGCACGAGACGGTGAGAATAAAGACGTAGAAGAAACTCCTCACGTGCGAAGAGTCAGAATTATTACTAATCTGACTACACGTCAGAGTTAAAGGGATTGCTGCACCTGGTGATGAGTAATATCATGCTCTTTCCAGACGTACACAGATGCATTACAGACTGTAATCGACTGCTCTTTGTTTCATGGGGATAATCTCACACCCGAGGCTGTGTCGTGACTTTGCAGAGCGTTGCTGAGGGCATGTCCATGCTTGTTGTTATCGCAGAGCCAAAAAAGCAAACAAAGGCTTTTTGACACGTTGCCAGGAATTATTCTCTGCAGCAGAAAAGCTTCTCTGTGGGATTCAAGCACGAGAAAAACATTCCAACTTTAATGCAAACAGCTTATGTTCAACCAACCAGTAAGTGTTGGTGGTTCGATGGTCAAAAGACGTCTACCAGAATCCTATTCATCCAGAGCAGCGTCTCTCAGTCCGTAAACTGTTCTATATTCTAAACTACTGTAAGATATTTTATTTAGTTTCTTTTTAGTCAAATGCTCTGAGTCAGTTTGAGAACAGTTAGGCAGTGTGTATGTCTAGGGCTTTTATTGTGAAAGGTAAGAATGGGATTTAATCTTTACCTATGATCTTAAATTGCTATTTTCAGCAAATTTGGATAATTTTGTTAAATTTATTGTCCTTTTGTTGTCTAGAAACCGCTTCACAGTCGTTCACAACAGCTTCTAACTCGTCCCGAGATAACTCTTAATTATCTACAGTGACAGTGTTGTTTTTAAGGCGACCGTCATCGCTCATGTTTGAGCCTATATTTTAGTTTTAGCTCGACAACATGAAGCTCGTAAAAGTGGATCACTCAGATTTGGTTACTACATGTGGTTTCATGTGAGTAGGAAGACAAAAATAAAAATAAATGTTTGTAATGCCACAGAGTGAAAACATAATTAGAGAAGCTTTGTAGAGTTGAGCCATTACATCAGACTACATCCACAGTGTAAATATAGCACATTGTGATTATGTCTGAAACACGTAACTCTGTACTCTCCTTATATTACGGGAATGTTTGTCCTCTAGTGACAACCTCAGTGCTACCACATTGTGTGTGTGTGTGTGTGTGTGTGATTCATACCCTGCTATTCATGGTCCGACCCTGAGGTGATATAAGTCACTCTGTGTGTGTGGGTGTTTGGGGGGGTACATGGACTTTGGCCCACTATGACACAGCCCAGGCACAAACCCAAGACACACACACACACACATACACACACACATTTAAAGAGTAACTGCACACGAAAACATGTTTTTAAGCTATAAACTAAATGATAAAACTGTACTGTGATGAACCGTATCTATGCTGGGCTTGATATTGACATTTCTTACCAAATTTATGGTTAGCTCGCTAGTTAGTTCGCTAGTTAGTTGGTTTTATCTCTCAGCCCTTTGAGGACTTTTTTTTTAGCATTTTTCAAAATGATCCAGTGGGTGGACTTATTATATTTCCTCAGTTGTGTAGTTTATGTCAGATTTCCACCAATGCAGAACAAGAATAAAGTGAGTTTAGGCGAGTTTACTTTCCCTGTGATTCACATACACACACATACACACATTTCCCACAATGCCTCTGACCTCTCAGTTTACAGGAACTGAGTCAGGGACATTTGGGCGGTCAGAGGCTGTAAATTATGAATTCCACATCTGAACCACACGACTCAGCTATTAGCTCTTCATGCAGCGTGAACTTGTGTGCCTTTGCTCTTAAAAACCGCTCTTCCTGGTTAGCGAGGCTGCTTCTCTTGCACAAGCAGATCCTGTTCATTATTTCAGACAATAATATCTTAATTTATCTTGGATTAAACTACTGATATCTGGTTTCACCGTTCCAAAAACAATACGTCTTAATGTGCTTAAGAAGAGGCTTTCCGAGATGTTTGTGGGGTCATTAGTTGCAGCTCTAGTTGGTGCTTCTCTGGTCTTTGCACTCTCAGCCAGCTGCTGTTGCCAGCTGACACCAGCTGTTGCTGCTGCTAGATTTATAAACTTTACTCAAGGCACCGTGTTAATTATATTGAGTCACGATTGTTAAATCCAACTCTTATGCCGCAGATTGTGCTTCAAATTCCTCCAAAAACATTATGACAAACAGCGATTGCATCCAGCTGCTGAGAATGTCCTCACATTTAATGGTTGGGGAAAAATGCAGTCAAACTAATACTCGTGCGTGTCATAGCTTCACAGCACGTGAAAGACCGGAGACTTTATGGCAACTGTTCACATTTTATTAAATGTTTTGATTCATTGCTAGTAAAGGCAGTTTGCTGCCAGTGACTGTTTTACTGTGGATGTCTCGGTTCGATGATTTGATTGGTAGTTTATTCTCATGTATTTGAGCCAAAACCGACCAGTCATAGGCCTGCAGACAGGGACATCTGCGTGTTTAATAATGGATAATTGTTATCATGTGTTAGTTGGTGTGTCTGTGAAGGTGAAACACATCCACTGGGACACCCACCCTCCCCAAATTCCTCCTCACCCCTCCTCACCCCTCCGCCTCCCTGCGGGGCTCAGATGTCCACAGACCGGTGTGTTTCTGGAATAAAAGGATCACAGCGAGGAAACCTGCTCACTGTCCAGCGGCTCAAACATAATCTCCAAAATTAAAGCGATGTTGGACGTGTTTTACAAGATCAAAGCGATTCGAACCAGGGAAAAAAAAAAGCTACAAGAACATATTGAGCAGATGTTTGCAAATGAATCTAACATTACCCAGAGGCAGTTGAGGTTCAAGGTTCATATGCAAACAAACACTGTGCAAAGTAGCTTGAAAAATGATCCACTGAGAGGCTTTAGTCTGATGCAACTGCTGAGTGATCATAAAGTTAGTTAGTTTTTAACTGAGTTTTCAAAAGGCGAGGCGCGTACAAATGTTCCAGTTCCTTCAGAATATTTCACCACCTCCAAAAAAATAAAACTCTGAGTGGCCTCTCACTTCTCAGTGTCGTTGCTGGCTTTTGACAAAGTAAAGCTAGAGCGCTGCCCGAGGCAATATTACATAAATCAAACAAGAAGGCTGCTTTTGTTGAATTTGGCCTCCGTGTTGACAACTCCCACACTAATACTCTTTTTCTTTCTTTCTTTCTTTTTGTCTTTCTTCCTGACTGACAGGTTGACACCACTTATAACAGCTCTTTCTTTTCTTTGTGCTTGGATCGCTGTGTGTGTGTGTGTGTGTGTGTGTGAATGTTTCCTCCAGGTGACTCCAGGCAGCAAGGCAGCCCAAGGTGACCTGTGTCCGGGCGACACCATCCTGGCGATCAATGGCGACAACACAGAGCTCATGACGCACATGGAGGCTCAGAACCGGATCAAAACCTGCACTCAGCAGCTGACGCTCAACATCAGCAGGTACGAGAGAGAACGACCTGCAGTCGGGTTTACTTGTTGTGACGGTAACATGATATTCGGCTTGCCGTATGCCTGATTCCATGTGAACGCGGCATTATGCCATTCACAACACCATTAGAATGTAGTTTACTGTATTTCTGCTGTAAGTGCTTGCAGACTTATTTTTTTTCCACAGAGGCTGCTTATGCTTTTTGCTTTGAGGCTCATTAAGTGCATTTAATTGAAAAACTTGATTATTATTTTTTATGACGAAGGTCATTTACTCCCTCTTGAACAGGAACACATATTGGTCCAGCCATGCGGACGGATGACGGGTTTACGGCTGGTTTTAAACGATCGACTCTCTGGTCCTATAGCGAGCTGTCACGGTCAATGAGGCTTGACCTTTTAGAAATGGATTTCACAGCTCCATGTTGTGCATTATATCAGTTCATGGGGTGGAAAAAAATTAGCTTTCAACTGCTCTGCGTCATTTTTAGACCGAGCATGCCCGAGGATGGATAGATTCGGCCTTAGGCGGAGGACAGGAGCAACATGTTTCTGTCAACATAGCCAAGTGGAAATCATCCATCTAAAGAGTTAATGACAGAGAGTCCGAGGGGGAGACGGAGAATAACCAAGGAAAAAAACTGAAATGTCAGTTGCTTCCCACATTTCTATTAGACGGTTTGCTCTGGGTTGCCAGATCCTAGAGGTAGCCAAAATCTGGCAACCTCAGATGAGGAACACTGTGTGGTTTTTAGCCTCAGTTACAAGTGACAACTGCCAACTGGGCGCTTCAGCTCTGTCCTTTTAGGGCAGCGGTCTCGCTCCTGTAATGGTTTGCAGTGTGAAGTTGGCTTGCAGACGCAGTGGAAATAAGAATCGCTCTCTGAGTAATCAGATAAGCGAAGATTCACACATGCAGGGACTCCAAAATCGGTGTTTGTGTTTTTATAGCACGTTCTTTAGGGACCAATCCCAATGTCCCCCAATAAAGCTTTATTTATACTCCGAGCATGCACAGAGGCGTTTATGCTCAGCGTGCTGTTCGTTGCATTATTCTAACTAAATATACAGTGAAGAAGCAAGAAGACATCGAGTGTTACCGGCAGAAAAACCTGATAAAGTAAAACAGAATTAATTTGGTTATTTACTTCAGTACTATTCATGGATTAGTATTACCAGGGGGACCTCATGTGATTGAGAAATGATCCCTCACGTTGTGTTTTATCAGATGAAAAATGTTATACTTTATATATAATGTAATGATAACATGTATATTAGCGAGATGAGCCTCCTGGTTTAGCCCTCAAACCGTCAAAACTTTCATTTCTAATTGCCATCGTAGCCTTCATAACTCTCCACCAGGAAAGAGGCAGAAAAAAAACATGCAAAAAATTAAAATAAATAATTTGCGGTGAAATTTTTACTTGACAAATTAAAGACGTGGCAGAGCGCACGGGATCAAAGACGACCTCTTTTAAGCAATTATTGACATTTTTTAGAGGTTCTTGATGCTTTAATCCCGAAAAAAAGTGACTTTAGGATGAAATCATGACCACAAATAAGCCACCAGACACACTGTGGTCCTGCTGTTCATCAACCGGCCTTAGTTCTGCCCCAGAAACCGACAGGATAGCAGGAGGCACAACAAGGCCGGCTGCTGGTATGTGATCTTTCTGCACTGTATTGCTGAGTAATTACGGTGTGAACCGCCCTGCTGCTGGACAGGATGAGGGTCAGAGAGAGAGCATGCACCTCTGGCCCCAGAGCTGAAATGAATCGCTGATGAAGGGCAGGGAAGACAGAACAACAAGCAGAAGAAGAAAAAAAGAGAATTTTAAAGATGGATATGAAGGTTTAGGAAGCCAAGTAGAGGAGCGGTGACAAATCCTCCAACGCTTTTTTTAACAGCCAACAGTTTCTGCTGGGTGCATCGTTGGAAATTCAATTACACAGCGAAGCTCAGAGTTGAATTTCTCCCCCTGAGATAGAGGATATGAGTCACCACAAGTTTTTTTTTAAAATAATCTTTGAATATTCCTGCTTGACACTGTGGAAAACGGAGACTCTTCCAAGGCTGCTTATGAGTAAAAGTCTCATGTTTTCCAATTATTTGCAACCCATAACTCAGCGATTAAAGCGTGGCATTTGGCGTCCTGGACATCCAGTGTGAGGTAGATTTTTATTTATTTATTTTTTCCCAGGACAAATGCAGCACAGGAAGTGGTGTTAATAAACAGCAACGGTCACTATGACTGAGCAGACAAACAACGTGAAGCCACGTGCATGAGCTCAAACTTCCAACAGGATCAAGTAGGTCACAGTTTTGGCTGCTATACTCATCAACCACCTAAATAAAATGGGAATAGTGCATAAATAGGAAAAAGGCACAATGCAAAGAAACAATTGATCTCAGAAATCACTATCTGTTTTCTGGTTGTTGTTAATTATCCAGGAAATGGGGACGTCAGTATGATGAGTCAAAGATGAGTACTTTTTAAGGGAACACTTCTCAGTATTGCACAAATTAATTTTAGTTGATGGTTAGTTCCTACAAATATTTTAAATTTTTTTAAATTTTTTTAATTTAACCAGGTGAAGTCCCATTGAGATTAAAAATCTCTTTTTCAAGGGAGACCTGGCCAAGACAGGCAGCAACACAAGAAACACATAGTTAGACAGAAAACACAGAACAAGACAAGTTAAAAGAAATTAAAGTTAAGAGACAGTGACTTAACTTAAATAGTTACGATTAATGATTTAATTGTCTATTTCTGTTCAGTGTATGCCACACAGCGTCCATGTTGTTATTAACAATGGCTGCTCATCGAAAGTGGTGTGATCAGAAAACCAGGAAGTGAGTCAGCATTTATGCACTTCCTGTTCCCTTGTATAGAAGTCGATGTGTTTCTGGAATTTTTGGTTATATGTCCGCGATAAGGTCTGTGTTTAACACAAGCCCAAGAGATTTTAACGTTTTGTTCTACGATATAAAATACGTCAGTAAATACCCCTCTGGTGAATTTAGCTTTTACGTGTTCTGCTGATTGCATTCAAAAATCATAAAGTGGTGTTTTATTTTTGAAGATTATCATGAACAAAAAATAAACGTTTGTTTGCCACAGAGCTCAATTTCCACTGCAATTAGCCAAGCTCTCTTTTTCCATATTTTTATGCCTCGACAACAGTAACCATTACGGCCATTACATTTTTGGGTTGTCCGATACGCCCAGTCCATTCTTGTGAACGCGATATCTCAGGAACACCTGGAGGGAATTTCTGCAAATTTGGCGTAAACGTACACCTGCTCTAAAGGATGAACTGATCAGATGTTAGTGGTCAAAGGTTACTGGGATCGTATACAAGATGTTTTTGGCCACAACTTAATAATTATGACAATTTCAAACAAATGTCGGAACAGGATAAAATGACTAAATGATGACATTTTGGACAGACATGAATGTGAACAACATGACTGTTTGGTGGAGCCGTACACCAACGATTTCACTTTCTGTTTGATGCCACATTTGTTTGTAATTGGCTTTAAATTACGGTGGAATCTGAAATTCATGCAAAACAAGTGCGGTCAGCTCAAAGAATCCAGATCAGGCCTAGTCCTCAATTGTGGGCTACAGCAATAAGTGAGGATTATTTATTCGCAACCACGGATTCTGGAGTCGAAAAATCTAAGAAAACATTTGGAGTGACTCAAAGAACTCACGCTGACTCACTAAAAAATAATATTTCAGAGGACACCAGTTTTGGCCGTCACTAAAAGATGTCGCCATAAAATACAGAGTCACAGACGGAGACACAGGAGACCTGTAATTTAGTATTTCTGCCGATGGACAAATATATGAGTCTACACGTCTGCTGTGAACCAAAATGACAGAACACTGGATTCATCTGAGCCCGAGGGCTTATATAAAACAAGAATGTCTCTTTGCAACTTCTCCGCATTTATTACTTTCATAACCCCCATTTTTTCACAATTCCTATTACAGAGCATTTAAGAGCGTTGAGGGGGGGGGGGGGGGGTTGTGCCCCGGGAAGCTTGTGAAAGCTGAGTAAGAAATAAAGAGGCTTCTGGAAAATTTGGGCCGACAGCTGTAGTTTTTCCTCAAAGAGTCCTGTCATTAAAGGAAAATTCAACATTCAAATGCTCACATATTTCTTGAGATGTCATTAATCTTGTCCGTCCATTCTCGTGAACGTAATATCTCAGGAACGCCTCGAGGGAATTTCTTTAAATGTGGCTCAAACTTCCACTTGCACTCAAGGATGATCTGATTTGAATTTGGTTGTCAAAGGCAACTGTGACCTTGCGAAACACGTTTTTGGCCATAACCAGGAGATTCTGAAAAGTGAAGCCTTAAACCTGCATTCGCTCTACTCTCTTGATTTATTACCTCAGTAAACATTGTAAACATGAGTTTATGGTCTCAATAACTAGTTTCAAGTCTTCTTCAATACAGCATGAAGTTCATTTAGTAAATTATGGTCCATTTAAAGTCAAATAGTTCATGAATGCTAATTGTAACGTTTTGGTCTCCTAAAAGTGTCTTATTCAGCGTTCGGTTGTACTTAGCTCCGCACTCTTGTCTATACTTCTGGTTGCAAAGAAAGAAGGTGGCGAAGGGCAAAAACCAAGATGGAAGCCGGTAAAACCAAAATGGTTACGTGCTAAAACCAAGCTGGCGACGACCTAAAACTAAGCTGGCGACAGGCAAAATCCAAGATGGCAATGGCCAAAAATCAAAATGCCGATGGCCCAAAATTAAGATGACGACAAGCAAAAACCAAGATGGCGATGGCCTAAAACCAAGCTTGCAAAGGGCGAAAACCAAAATCATGGACACAAATCTGGATGGAAAAAATGTCCAAAAGAAGTCGTCTGTCCGTGGCAAATACAGGAAAAATCGAAATGAGGGATTTTTTAATTCGTTTTTTTCAACCCTGTACGTCAAAATGAAGCACAATAATGAAGTCTAACGCGACCTCTGGTGTCTCATGATGAAGGTGGGGAACTCTTGAGACTATGAGGGCCACAGCAAATGAAATTCACAACATTTTAAAGCTTATAAATTCGTGAGAAAAACGCAAAGAACGAAAGAGAAACTGTAAAAAAGACGGTGCTCTGAGGTCACCACTTTACCACAGCTTTCCATTTTCCATCAGGCGTCCCTGCTGATGCAGGCCTGTCAGCGCTCCACTGTGAGGTGAAACACCCGCCCGAGTTTCTGTTAGTCCCTGGCGTCGTCTCGCTGAGGAGGAAAATAATTGCTGCCACTCCCACCACGCACACTGTCTGAGTTCACTGTAGTGTCAGAGAGCCGTTGACGGAGACACAAGGCCCATATTGGAGGGTGTCACGTCCGCTTTGCTTGGCTTTTATATCCTGAGACCTAAACAGAGTCTTTGAATATGTGAACTAGCTGTGAAGGAAACCTCCACGTTCTCCTTTTTATCCATCATTCTTTTGACCTCTTCATCGTCCCTGACCTCCATGTACCACCATTCTCCCTCACCAAACCTAAATCCCACTCCACTCATTCACTGTTTCTTCTTTTTTTTTAATATCTCCTCTTCTTCCAACCTGCCTTCACCTCCCTGCAGTTTGCCTCCTTCTGCCATGTGGTCGCAGAGGCCCGATGGCGGTTTGGATGTGTTTCCACCGCCGGTCAGGCTGTTCCAAAAGAGTCGTGCTGGGGTGGCAAGTTAAATGAGTCATGATGCCTGAGCTGAGTGTGTTTCTCTGACTGCATGTCTTGTTCCTGTGAAGCCCTGCTGTTCTTGTTTCAATTTGAATTACTGTTTAAAAGAAAATGCAGGATTACTTTCAGGCTGGCAGGAAGCTTGAGCTGCAGATGGTTTAGAGTTTAATGGGTCAGTTCACCCAAAATAACCCGAAATATAGTTTTAGTTTTAGTTTTGTTTGCTCTGGGACTGTTTCTTCTAACCATAGACTGTATATAAGAAGTGGAGTGACATCGTCGTGGTGGTCTGTGGACTGCCGTTTTGAAGCCTAGAGTTTGGCGATTTGGCCGTCGCCATCTTGGCTTTTTGCAAACCAATGAACGTGAATAGGAGCTATGGTTGAAAGATAATAGTTCCTCCATGAAACTCCTCCCAACAAGGTCTGTGGATTATCTCGAGTAACCGGGTCATGATTTCTGGAAAGAGATATAGTTATTCAAATGTATTTTTGTGCTGCTCTGAGCACCACAAGCAGAGTGCCTTATAGTGCCATTATATTGAAGAGGTGGCAGACATCTCTACGGCAGATATGTACAAAACTCAGCTACTCACCAGAACAATCTAGATTGGTTTTTAAGGTTAGACCTGCAGCAGTGAGGGGTTTGATAGTATGAGAGGTTTAGCTGATGTGTAATGCATGTACAGTAGTGAGTGATCTGGAGAGTAAAATCAAAGTAAAACACAGCTCAGAGGCTTCAGCAGGACTCATAGGACATGTAGTCCGAGCTCTGGAGGATTTGCTCTCTGCTGCCTCACGTCGACTCAAGGACCTGTGACTCATGGCTGAGGAATTATACACGAGGCTGCACGGGACCAAATGAAGAAGGGACTCCAGCTGGGATAAAGATATAAAAGAACCCAACTCCCCCCTCTACGACCAGCATCGCTGCCTTCTCCTCCTTCATCCCTCCATCGCATCATTCCTCTCTCTCGCTCTCCCAAGGTCTCCTTTTTTGTGGTGGTTCTAAAGGCAACATCAATGGAGTTTGAGAGACTGCGTTGCAGAAAGGGAGGACGGGGGAGACCACAAACCTCCCTCCCCTTTTGCTCTCTTGCATTGATCCTGTCGTCAATCAGATCAGTCTGGTCTCATCCAGCGTTTGTAGCTATTCATACGAAAAAGGAATGTATAAAAGGAAGGAAGTATAAAAACATCAAAAGCACACACAGGGTGGGCGGAAGTGAAAGTGGAAGGGTCCAACAAACGGCGATCTTTGACCCAGGAGACCGATGTTCGTTCCCAATGTGAAACGAGAAGTCACGTCACTTGTTTACTTCAGCAACGCCACCTCCGTAGTTATTCTAACCCAAACGACGATATTTTCCTAAACCTAACAAAGTAGTTTGGTTGCCTAAACCTAACTAAGTGTTTGACGATCTTTTACTAAACCTAACCAAGTACTTTTGTACCAAGTTGTTTCCTGTAAAGACAGAAGTTAATTTTGAAAAGACTGTATGCATGTAACAAGTGGAAACTGACATGTGTTGCTTGATTTCGTAGGAAATCCCACAAATAATGAGGAGTAACTTTTGGTCAGATATCATACGAACCGTTGTGTGACGGTACTTTGCTCAGATTCAGAGTTTCCCCCCTCAGATCTGCAGACGACACCCTAATGGATCTTCTTTATAATGTGATTGTCTCCCTTTACTCCCCGTAGAGACGGCATTTAAAATCTTCTCACATTACAAATAACACAGCAGCTGCTCCAGTGGTAAAAAGGGCTGAAAACTGGCCTGGTTTCTGATGGGTTTGATGGAGCGAAGCATGACTTCCCAGTGAACCCTGAAACGATCCGTGATCAGCCACATCTTAATTTGAGGGCACTTGGGTTTTTTTCAGCCGTCCGTCTCGTGCTCCTCCTCGAACACGGTGATGCTGTGCAGCCAAAGTAAACTCAGCCCACCGCTCCGAAAAAACAGATTTCCACAATCAGGAAATTAAACCTGGCAGTGGGAGGTCAGGCAAGGGAAAATATGACCAGAGGAAAGACCTGAGACTTTCTTATTATTCCTCTTTTTCTTTCTTTCCATTTGTCTTTATTCATTCTTGACATTGATGCATGCAGTTAAGAGCCGAAGGGGAGCTTAAGGGGTGAAAAACCAAAGACGACACTTTAAAATAGAGTTTGGGATGAGGTGCACACTGGAGAGGGATTGTTGCCAGAGAGCAATGTAATCAACGTGGATAACGGTTTCTAGATATAAACTAGATTACATCCAGTTGAGTGTATGAAGCCGTATAACCGAAATAAACAGCCGAGAGTCCCAGCAGTCTACAGTGTAATGAGTGCAACAGTGGGATGTAACTCACAGTTTCCACTCATGCGTTCACATCTCCATTATTATGAACGGATGCTAAATGGCTAAAATGTCATCTCAAATAGGCCTCTTCAGACTGAACTTTCCCTCGTTTCAATAGGCTGTTTGTGTCCTAACCGTCGAAAATATGAAGGCTCTCTTGTGGAGGGGGGGGGGGGTTATCATCCTACGCAGTCCACCAGACACTCGCCGCCTCATAAGAGCTTCCTTGATAGCAACACCTCCGCGGTTCATATCTGAAGCATTGCCTCAGCCCGGCCGAACGGCGTGCCAGCTGCAGCCGGATGACCTCACCTCTTTGGACGTCAACGCTCCCTCGCCGTGTGGTCGGACGGATCGGTGCAGGCTCGCGGTTAATAGTCTTCATGCCTCCGTGGAAGGAGGTGTGAAAGAAGAGAGGACAGCACACACACACAGAGACATTGATCCTTTCGTTACTCTGCATGATGTCCTGGTGTTACCCTTTTTTGCATGTTGGATGCTTTCCCACTGAACCGCCAATGCCATGGCGACGAAAAACCTCCCAACCCGAAGGAACCCAAAGAATTCCCCTCAGACCTGTTTTTGTTGTTGTTTGATACGACAGGCAAACTGCCACTACTTCAACGCATAACTCGAAACTAAAAGAGGAATGCAAGTGAAGCGTTGAGTGATGCCAATGGAGATTAATCGCAATGTTTTTATCAGCCTGAGAAATAGGTTGCACGCCATTAACTTCACTAAAGTGTTTAATTCTCTGGAAATGCTTATGCATGCACAGTACGCCCCTTTCAGCAGAGCTGTAAATAATCTATTTCATCATTGCTGCCAGTCAGTAAATCATTGTCTTTTTTGTAAGGAAATGCAACTGGAGTCAATTACAGCAGGGGGGGGGGGGAGGCTCAGATACCACTGATTCAGTTATCATTACTTTGATAAATCCTTGGCCCAAAATGCAATGTTTTTCTTTCCAAAACCTGGACTCCTCAAAGAGTGGAGTTATGATGTGATAATAACTTTATCTTCGTACCAGTGGGAGGAGGACGGAACGTCGCTGTATCCCATTCCTAATGTGAATACCTGCCAAATGTACAAAACCACATCTTCACATACACATGCATGCATACGATTACGAAGCTACCAGTGCAGTGTGTGATCGGTTGACACAGTTGCTCTGTGGCACATGCAGCAAAAAAAGGTTTGGCTTCTGAGTACAAAATTCAGATGAAAATAGCTTTCTAGCTTCTGCAACATATGACTAAAGCTCATCTTGGTCTGTTGTCTACTGTCAATGTTTGTGTCTTTACGATGAAGTACATTCACTACATGCATGTACTGTTTATCAGACCACGAAGGAGACAGGAATTTGCGTTAGTTAGCTAGCCCACCCCGCGTCCATCTGCCTCACTCCCCTACTTCTCCGGATCTGATGATAACAGCCAGAAACAGCTGTACATTCAGAAAGTATAGAAGAAGGAAAAGTGGACGTTCTTGCGCCTTACATGCCAATCAAATCTGGGGTTAGTGGCATATCATGTGACGCTAAAGTTGTCGTCTTTTTCCAGTTTACAGTAATTTTTCAGTTCTTTGCTTTCAAAACATTCTCACTCGGATATAATTACACTTTGTATACGCTGGATCTTCATTGGAAAACCTGTCGGCGAAGAAAACTCACCTCTCAGCAGAAACATTTGGGTGTTCGATGGCGCAACACTGATCTGACTCTCTTTTCTCTCATGGGTATTGTCTTTCAGGTCGGGATCAGGAGACAGAGTGTGGTCGCCAATGGTTAGTGAAGAAGGCAAGACAAGCCCTTACATGGAGCCTGACTCACAGGTAACCACTGTTTACTCTGGATTTACCGAAGCACCAGTAACAAGTCTTTTCTTTACATTTACATTCACAACCACTGGGAAGCTGTCACAACTGATCCGCTTGAATTTCTCATGCTGCCAACCCAGAGAAATACACAGTTCATACTCCAGGCACCCCTACAAAGTATGCTCTGTTGCATGCAGTTTGCATTCAGCTGCTACTTTATCATCACATTGCCCCTTGAACTGTGACCCTCTTGCTCATATATCTGCTGTGCAGGGGATTGTGGGTCAGAGTAACCACAAAATCATGCTGCCTTTCAAACTGCAAAATGTGACCAGGTGTAGTAGAACATTCTGGTATTTTTGGCAAACTGCATTTGACATACTATGTATTGGGACAATCTAAATTGTTTTCTGGCGTACTAAATAGTATGGTAGTATCGTAGCACTGAAACGCACAGTAAGTCTAGCTAACTTGGTCTGTCTCATGAGACAATCATATATAAATATAAATAAACCCCCAGTTTAACCATCATAGTGTGAAATTAAGTTGTACTGCTAAAAATATGCAATTGGGAGATCGCCACCAATGCTTTCTAGTCACCCATGAACTCAACTGAAATTACAAAGTTGTCATGATGTGTTTAAATATTATATTGCAAATTTTAGTTTTTGGCTGAAAACTTGAATAAAACGGTTGTATAAAGAAGTTGTTTTCACATCAATATAAAATAGATATTAAAGATTAATTATGACCTGTATATCTTCCTAACACTAGCTTTAAGCAGCTTATAATCATCATAAAAACTACTAAAAACAAGACTTTGTTTCATCAGTAATTTACAATCTTTTATTTCCTAATCATTTTAACTGTGTATTATGCAAATATAACTTTAGGCTAACATTTAAAATATTTGAGAGTTAACACTGACTTCAGAGTGGTTGGTGAAAGAAAAAGGTCTGTAGTCTTGTATCCCAGCTCCTTAAACAAAACGAAACAACAACAAAATCGTCCGATATGACTCATCGACGATCAGCAAACGTATCAGCCAAAAAAACCTTATCGGGACATCTCTAAAAGTTATATCTACCTCCTTTTTATTTCTGCTGATCTGATCCGTGACTCAAGAGTTTTGTGGTCCGATGCACCCCTATCAGCTACAGTAAATACTTAGATTTAAATCTAAGTTTTTGACTTAATTATCCATATTCAATGCCGTAGACAAGCACTTATAGCAGCCCCCTCGATAAACAAGGTGGCTGCTGGTGCTGACCCACATTTCTCTGGTCTGATTTATGTCACATTTTGTTTGTACTTTGAACTTTACTGCTGTGGATCAACCACATCAGCCACAAGAGAGGATCATTCACATGGGGTCGTAACTTAAAAGTTCAGTTCTCTGGGTGTGAGACCCAAGTCTTCTCACTCTGTTTATATCATAAACAGAATCCATGGAAACAGGCACAACACTTGATCTGTAAATTGCATGTACACTATCAATCACATGGTTATAAATGAGATAATGCATCCCACTGTTCACTGGAAAAGGTTTTGAAATAGTATCTTGATTGTTCTCCGCTCGTACGAGCTGCCAAACGGACATTCAAGGCATGATGAACTCCAGCAGATGATCTTTTCCAAGTTTTCCAGAGCTGGCAAGCTGACCGGTGTCTGCTGTGATTATTGAGACTGTGTGACTAAGACAGACAATGAGCATATTGTGGCTCAGACATGTGAGTGTCCATTCGTCAAGTGTTGCATTGTGGTAGTTGTGTCTCTCGGCCCTCGCTGTGGAAGGGTCTCCTTGCCTAAAAACAAAAAAAAAGAAGGGTGGAGCAGACACACAAAGAGCTGAAATCTATCTGTCCGCCTTTTGATGCCTTACAGGAAAGTATTGTTTTCCGTGTCAGAGAACAAAGTGAAAGAGACTTCAGCGTATGTAATTCATCTGGGTAGTTTGTGGTCGTAGGATCATATGAATTATCATCCCAGGAGACTTTTATTCTGAAATTACCAATCAGTAGTAGAGATGCCTGATACCAATACTGATATCGGTCTGATGCTGTCTCAAATAGCTGGGTGTGGTATCTTGATGACAGAAGAAAGATTTTGGTATTAGACACCAATATTTCAATTAGTATAAATCAGCACATTAGTATCTATGTATTTATGTATTACTTTTTGTTTTACAAAGTTACTAAAGCAATGTTTAAGTCAAGTCACATAAAAGAATGACCCAAGTCACTTGCACACAGTGAGGCAGACAGGTAGGTAAGGTACTTCAGCATTGGCATTCGGTATTCGATATCGGTCGATACCCTCAGCCCATATTGGTATCGGGACTGACAAAGTCGGAAGTCTGCATCTGAACTGCTAAGTATTTAGTGTATTTTGAATCATGGTCACAGAACTAAGTTGTTTCTGATTGTCCGTACTGCCTGTAAAACAAGAATTTCATGCCTCCTAGAGCACAATACTGTAAAGAAGAATCGGATAAAACAAAAAGAGTCTATATGCACTGCCGTATGTTTGATGAAACACCAAACCTGAGCGAGAGAGGAACCATCAACAACAACTGTTTATACAAACGCAGTAATACGAGAGGAGCAAATCTGTCTCTCTCAGCTCTTTGCCTCTCTCCGTATCATCTTATCCAGTCCTTCCTCCCGCCCTCACTGAAGCCTTGAAAATGTTCCCTGGCGTCTCTTTTAATGAAGCGAACCTGGACGGCTCAGTCGGGGCCACTTTATCGTCACGCTCAGGTGGATTCTTCTGAGCATGAAAAGAGGAAACATCCGCTCCCTGGGGTCACATAAAAGACCAAGGCTCTCTGTTTCTTTCTCTATTCTGACAGATAACAATGCAGATTGTTCCTCAATGGAAACAGTATGCACCGGGACGTCCATCACACCATTTGAACCAAATCCAGACTGAACTGTGTGATACTTTTGGCCCACAGTTACTCCAATGACGAGACGGTTTGGACAGCATGAGCAGAAATTAAGTGAATCAAAGCTGGATGAGGATGACAAGACAATTTTTGATTGTGCTGGCAAAGATTTGAAGCTGTCATCCACAACCTACCTATGCTGAAGCGGTACGCTTTGGCTAGCAGGGTGCTAACTGAGACGTACCAGGACACTTGTACAAAGACAACAATTAATCTAAAAACAAATGGTCGCACATTTTTCGGGCCTACACAGGCATGCATTGGTGTTTTTACTCTGCAGATTGACTCCAAAGAAGATTGCAATATTTCTACCACTTGAGCCCAAGAAACAGCTCCTGAATAGTTATGAATTCAATGATGGCATTAATCAGGAAGTTCTTTATTTAACATTTCCCTTTAAATTCATGGACTCCTTGTTCTTGACAAACCGTCTATGTTGGAAATTCCAGTCTGGCTTGTGGGAACTCAGCAGGAAGTGACACATGGAAGCTATGGGGTGTTTCCTTTCACCTTGGGACTCATAAAAGTCGATGAGGAAATGCTCTATTGTTGGTTATAAGTAAGTGTTTGCGTTTTTTGCAATCCGGTGAAATTGCATCATGTGTTTCCAAAGACATGTGCTCATGCTACTGGCTACTGGATGTCACACAGCCTCCTGAAATATAAATGCTTTTGATAATGAGAGGTGGCAGGGATGAGATAATGACCAGGTGTCAAACAGGAAGTAAAACAGCAAGTGCATGTGTTGGTTTTGACAACCAAATTTGAGAGAGAGAGAGAGAGAGAGAGAGAGAGAGAGAGAGAGAGAGAGAGAGAGAGA